CTTCAAACAAAGCAGCTGAGGACCATGGTTCTTCAGCCACGGTGTTTTGTTAGAACTCACAGTACCAGATGTAAAACTTTCCCCTGTAGAATGGGGTTTAAGTCCAAAGTTAGTTACACCCATAACACTTGAAACCAGTATTGCACTATCTGGCACATCTTGCCTGGCACTTCTGTAGCTCCTGACCCTTGCGTCCTTGACTGACTGAGGTGACTCCTCATCATTGCTCCTTTGGGTACATTCATGTGTCTCTCGGACAGCTTTCAGTACTTATAAACATCCAGATGGTTCCACCTCAGTAACACATCTGACGCTGCAAAAGCTAATCTCAAGGGAGGGTTCAGTCCTAGCTTGATTTCTCCAAGTCTTGCACCCCAAATAAGTGATGTCTTCAGAAGTAGGGTCTAGTCGTGGCATGCAACCAACATCAGTAGTGATATCCTTTATCATTTAGGGGTCTCTAGGGCTTCATTGGCCAACAACTCATAGGAAAATAACCCACTCCTAGCACTAGGATCCTCAGTCAACAATGCTATGACTTCTAGGAGAATCTTTTTCCACACAATATATTGCTCACTCTTTAATATTGACAGCCACAGACTGTCACTGAATTCTCCCAGTCACCTCGGTGTCATCTGTGCCCGTCCAACCATAAAGTCCCCAAGAACTTCCCAGTTGCATCTTGCCCTTGTTCTCTTTGTCAGCTGGCTTCTCAGCTTTGCTCCTGTGGGTACCTACACACATATGTCCCTCAAGGAACTTTCTAGACCTGTAAAAAAAAAAAAAAACCTCAAAGTTAGCGTTGTGCCCTCTGTATAATAAAAGTTTGTTTGTTGTGTGTATGGGTCTTGCCTGCAAATCTGCATATGCACCACATGTGTGTAGTGCCCTTGGAGGCAGAAAAGGGCATCGGATCCCTTAGAGCTGCAGACAGTTGAGAGCTACCGTGTGGGTGCTGGAAACCTGTCCTCTGTAAGAACAGCCATGTTCCTAACTACTGAGCCTATCTCTCCAGCCCCATACTGAAACCATGTAAGATTGGCAAAACAACAAAGAAGGTCCTGGACCACCATCCTATAAAAGACAGCGTGGTTATAAAGATAACCTTGGTAAGATACTGAGTCCATTGCCATTCATGCTGGTCAACCGTAGGCCAATCTCAGAAGTCTGTAACTAAGGAGATGCTAAAGTAAAACATTAGCTAGGTTTAGTCTAGCCTAAAAACATTCCATATGTTCCTATCAGTAGCTGGCTTCCTCGTGCTGGGCACCCATGGAGCCTCTGCCTTTCACCAGCAGTGATGAACTCAGTGAAGCTAGCTCTAACTGATTAGTTTGGCCTAGAGCAAGGAAGGATACAGCTTGCCTCCTTGGCTACACCAGCCTGCAGGCAGGTCTCATGGCCCTTAAGTGACATTGCACTGTATCTATAACCAGCTGGTGCCTCTGCATTGGCCACAAAGGGCATGTAGCTGTGTGAGCATTCCATTCCAGAAGAGAAAGATACAAAGTATACTCAATAGAGACAACAGGCCACCCTCTAGTCAAGCTTAAACCTTGCTACTTGCTTAGTTCTAGCCCCTATTATCAGCTGATGCCCGTTTGATACCCTCTAGGCCGGTAAGAAGCCCTTACAGTGAGACTCATTGCTACCTCCATTTTCTCCATGTTGTAACTAACTAGTCAAAGTCTCAGAAATAAATATCTACAGTTACATGAAAGCTCTTGGCATAGTCCTTGCATTTCTGAACTCACATTTTTGTGAGGCTGTGTTCAGTCTCGTGCATTTTAGCCCAAACAGCATGTCACAACATGCTTACTTCAGACCCGGACCCGAGAAGTCAGTTGACATCTCTATTTAGGTATTGGAGAGATTTGCAAAAGTGAAAAATACTTCCATTTAATGTTTTGGAACATTTGACTTTTCATAATAATGTATGTTGAGATGTAATGAGGATTTTTCCCATTTTTGAATTCATAGTCTTGTTGATTGACTTTCATGAGAAGCATTCATTAATGTGCAACCAACACTTTTTATATTGTACTTTACTTTTTATAAATGAATGCATGTTTTAAAAATTTTGTGTTTTTCATGTCTAACGTTAAATATTCAAGAGCATAGCAAACACTTTGTGATTCTCATTACATCTGGAGCATGAAAGGGAGAACAAGGCTGAGAGCCCCCTGCTCCACTGTGGCATATTTTTTCCTTCCTGAAGTTGTCTGCCACCTGAGTGAATGAGCCCAGTTCTTTCAAAGGTTGCGGGTACTTGTGAAAGACACAACAACCAAACCATGAAAGAACCGGTGCGCTGCGGGAGTTGCCGCGGTCACAGAGTGGTCAGCGCTGCCCCAGGTGAATGAGCATCTGGATCCTGTCCTTCATGTCTCCACCATTGCTCAGAGCTTCATGCTTTCCAGGGGTGGTGGTGGTGACGTGAATGCCACACAGAATAAGCTCCTCTGGAGTGGAACTTGGAAATCCAGCTGGTGTAGAGCCGGCCTGTGACTGTCAAGCAGTGACCTCAGCACAGGAGGACAGTGAGACTGTCATGACTCCCTGGGAAAAGGCCAGATGGTGGGAGCTAGCCCTGCACTCTCAGAGTCTCTGGAATGATTGGGTGTGCTTGAGGGTTTGCCTGAAATGTGCTCTAAGGACACTGTTGGCTCATTTTGTCAGCTTGACTCAAGGTAGAATCATCTGAGAAGAGAAAGTGTTATTTGAGGAACTGCTTCCATCAGCTTGCCCTGTGAACAAGTTTGTTGGGGCATTTTCTCAATCCATGATTTACAGGGAGCAGCCCACTAGGTTTTGTGTCACCCTTGGACTGGTGGTCATGGGTTCTATAAAGAAGCAAGCTGAGCAAGCCATGGAAAGCAAGCCTATAAGCAGGGTTCATCCATAGACTCTGCTTCCGCTCTCACCTCCACGCTCCTGCCTGCTTGAGTTTCTGCCTCGGCTTTTCTTCAGAGATGGGCTGTGATCAGAATGTGTGAGCCAAATAAGCCCTTTCCACCACAGGTTGCCTTTGGTCATGGTTTATCCCAGCAATAGAAAGCAGACTAGGATGCACATGTGTAACTAGGACGCACATGTGTAACTGGGACACACGTGTGTAACTAGGACACACGTGTAACTGGGACACACATGTGTAACTATGGCACACGTGTAACTAGGACACATGTGTGTAACTAGGACACATGTGTAACTAGGATGCACATGTGTAACTAGGTTGCACATGTATAACTAGGACACACATGTGTAACTGGGATACACGTGTGTAACTGGGACACGTGTAACTCGGACACACATGTGTAACTAGGGCATGTGCACATGTATAACATACAGTAGACTCGGTTCTCAGGAAGCTGGTGGTGGCTGGTAGAGTTTGCCTGGAATTATGTTTCAATAAGATAGAAAACCCACTTCAGTACTGCTCAGATGTCAAGTAGACAATGGGCTAGCAGAACTGAGGGCTAAAATTCCCGGCGTCATTAATGAATAAACCCAAAAGAGCAAAGCCCGAATTGTTTAAGAAACAGTTGTAGTTGGGTGCGGCGCACACCTTTAGTCCCAGCACTTGGGAAGCAGAGGCAGGTGGCTCTCTATGAATTGGAGGCCAGCCTAGTCTACATAGTGTATTTCAGAACAGCCAGGGCTATGTAGAGAGGCCCTGTCTCGAAACAAAACAAAAAGTAAATAGTTTTGAAGCAGCAAGACAGAATGAACATTATGGTAACTTTTCAGCGCTGTGGCCACCAACAAATCCACAGGAGCCCTGGGTCACAGTGAAGGTTCTGAGAATGGGCATGTGAGAGAAGAAACGAAGAGAGTGTGCCCATTTCCCTTCCCAGAACCTCAGGGGCACCGTGTGTGTTCCGCTGCTGTCGTTTACATAGCAGTAGCTTTTAAATATTTGGGGGAAGGACTGGAGAGGTGACTCGGCCCTGAAGAGCACTTGCTGTTCTACAGCGGACTCTGGCTCAGTTTCCTCCTGCAGCAACCGCTGAGAGCTCCTCAGGCAGCTGTGGGCCTCACAGCCCCGCCCCAGTTCACAGTGGAATGTCTTAGGGCCCAGTCTCATCAAGCCATGTGCAGGTATCCACGGTGAATATGTGTTCATAATTGTAGGTGCCATGTCTTGTCGAGGAAACGGTACCTCATAACACCCCCCATCTCCTTCCGGCCTCCTCTTCCACAGTTCCCTGGGCTTTGTGAGGATGGTGCACCTTCAGCCGTCATTTTTATAGAGAATCCATTTTTATGTTCATCTTGTATCACTGGAACAAACAGGGTGGGACAAATCATCTTCGAAAGACCAAAGGTTTCTTTTGGCTCATGGTTTTAAACACTTTAGTCCTGCGCCTGTTTGCCTATTGCTTTGGTGTCTTTGGTGTGAAATCACATCTAGGGAGGAGCACATGTCAGGCAAGGAAAACTGAGAGAGAAGCCAGCACTGGGTTCCCTTCAAAGGACGCTCACAGCGACCTAATTTCCTTCTATTGACGCTGACCTCTTAAAGGTCTTCCTCCTCCCAAAGCACCACAGGCTGGCGGCTGTACCTGGATTAACACTTGGCCTCTAGAGAACACTTACCCAAAGTGTAGCAAGTTTCCAGGATAAACTAATTTCTCAGAATAGAAAACCAGGATGTGTTTAAGATTCACAGTGGAATATGGCATGAAAGAAATGGGAAAGGAATTGAAACAAAGGCATTTAGGCAAAAAAGATGTGGAGGAAATCACACACACACACACACACACACACACACACACACACATGCACACACGCACACGCACAGTCTACTACAGGACAATGACCATGGAGCCTCATGGTTTTCCTTCTCCCTGGAGTGAGGGAAGCACCCACTAATCCATCCCGTAAAGCAGTAACAAATGCATACAGAAATAACACACAGAATAGCAAAGACATTTCAAAGCGTGGACCCCATCTCTGTGGCAGCATCTTCATGCTACACTTGAGGAAAATGAGGATCCAGGGAATACCTGGCTTTGTCTAAGTCCAAGGAGCACAGAGGGAGCTTGGTTACCAGACGATAACTCAGCTGTCTGCAACTCTCTTCAGTTCTCCCGTTGGTGGTCCCTCACTGGGTCAGGAGCACTGTGCATCTTGGGAGCCCTTTGGCTCCAGAAGGTCCTGCTCCTGCGATTCACAAAAGCATTTCAAATGTTGCTTAAAAAAAAATAAATAAATAAAACACCCAGACAGAAACGCCCTCTGTGATGGCCAGAGGGAAGTTAATTCACCAGTGTTCTCTCCTCTCTCAGAACCATGATTCCTGTGACGGAGTTCCGGCAGTTCTCCGAGCAGCAGCCTGCCTTCCGGGTGCTGAAGCCATGGTGGGATGTGTTCACGGATTACCTCTCGGTGGCCATGCTGATGATCGGAGTGTTCGGATGTACTTTGCAGGTAAGTGTCCGACCCTCGGAGGACTGGAAGCCAAAGGGTGTAACTGAAGGACTGGCTCTTCTGGACTGGGAACGCAGCTTGCTGGTGGGGGATGCCTGGAATAAATACATGAGACCTTGGGTTCAATCCCCAGCATTGTACAGGGCAGAAAGTGGGGGCGGGAGGAGGAGAGAGAGAGAGGAGCAAGCTGGCTGCATGGGGAGTGGTGAGCTGATGCATGGGGAGTGGTGAGCTGATGCATGGGGGGCTGTGTGAGCTGGCTGCTTGTGGGGTGAGCTGGCTACATAGGGTGGGGGTTGCAGGTAACCAATAGGCAGTCTTCTCTAGCTATCTATGGCATTGGTAATCCTGGCAGGGAGCCTGAAAACTCATTTGCTAAACTTTCCTGAGAGACGGAACTATGCTAGAATGCAAGGAAGCCTCTTGCTCAAGTGAGGTTTGATGCCGTTAACATCCAGAAGGGCTCCTTGCCTTTCGCGGCCTTCAAAGTGACCCATTCACAAGGCCACTTCCATTGTCACATACAGCCTTTTGCTTTTCTTTGCCTCTTATGCTTGAACCTGTGTCTTTTTCTGGGAGAATGAATATTTTTGGGAGAAACCAAGATGCCCTCAAGTGTTTAGTTCTGAATTAAAGCATAACTCAGTCACAAATGCATTCTGGATAGAAGCCGTGTATCCTTCTACACAGATATATCTTCATGCCTGTTACTATGCCAGGACCCACACTTGCAGGGCCTAGGTACTGTGTGTAGTCAATTTCTGAGGGGAGCTAAGCTGACGGGTGAGCAGAAGAGATGGTTAGTGATGCTGGCACCACAGGTAGGAAGGAAGTACATGGGGAAGACGCTCAGCTTAGTTTAGAAATGAGAAAAAGGGAATTGTTGCAATAAAAATTGGAGAATGAACTAGCTAGCTAGAGGGTGGGAGCTGGAGGGGGAGGGGAAGGGCAGGGAGCAGGTGCCAGGATGGGGAAGAAGCGAAACAAAGAGCACAGCATTGGTGGGAAGCCCTCAGAAGGACTGCTGCATATTGGGTGTCCTTAGGATGACGTCAGTGTGGTGCCTGGAAGTGGAATCCAAAGAGAAGGAGGGAGGGAAAGGATGTCCTGAACAGCACTGGAGGGTTCTCGGGGGAGGGATGAGAGGTGTAAGGCCGGGTGGAGAACAGGAGAGTCCTAGGCACTGAAGCTGTGAGTAACAACAGCAGACAGCTTCCACCCAGCTCACCGACTAAGGAGAGAGAAGTAACATCTTACCCTTAGAAGCCTTAGTTCGGTGGTTGGACAAGTGGATGGAAGTTGGAGGCTCTGGGTGGGTGGGACCTTCAAGAAGAACAGCCTGGAGGAAGTAGGAAGAAAGAAAAAATCTCCAGAAATAATACAGTGTAGAAATAAAGGCCTTTAAAGATTTGGTATTGTTAAAGTGCGTCCCAACATTGCCTGTGTGCCGGGCATCTTTCTGGACATCTGACTCCTGCGGCAAGTCTTTCCTTCCTTGTGCCAGCTCTCAGACAGGAGCCATCACTGTCCTAAGTACACGGAGGTTAAGGGGAACTTCCCCGTGGGCGGCAGAGCCCTTCTTTAACCCAAGCGATTTAGATCCAGAGTCCTTGTTCCTAGTCCCTAATACTATGTTCATTGCGTTTCATTTGAACAATAAAAATATTTTGCTAGCTAGCCTGGTAGAAAACACTCATAATCCTAGCACTTGGAAACTGGAACCAGGAGGAGTGGAATCCAGGGCATCCTTAGCAATGTAATGAGTTCCAGGCTAGCCTGAGCTATGCGAAACCACGTCTCGATACAAAACAAACACACTTCCCTTCTCCCCACCCACTCAGAATAGAATACCAAGGAGAAACCAAAGTCTAAAACAGAGGGAAAACGTAGATTAACTCATAAATAAAATAACTGTTGAAGAAGACACAACTGTGTACCAGACTCTGCTCTACCAAGAATTGACAGTAGAGGAAGGAAGAGGTGACTCAGCCGGGAAGGGCGCTGCTGCGGAGCCTGACCGGCGAGCAGAGCTGACCGGCGAGCAGAGCTGACCGGCGAGCAGAGCTGGATCCTAAGAACCAACGGCAGGCGAGTCCTGACTTCAGACGACCATGCTCTTCCTGCAGCACATGCGAGAGCACACACACCAAATCCTCAGAATGCACCTCAAGCTGAGGGAAAGGAAAGAAGAAAACAAGACAGACAGTGAGTCAGCTATAAAGCGAGCGGCGATAGATGCATGCAAGACCTCCAGTGCGTTCTGAAAGGTTCCACCACGCCTGGTGTTTCCTGTTTGTTCTCCAATTATATGGACCTTAGCAATCACAGCAAATCTTTTTTTTCTTTCCCTGTTAAACTGAGACTTCTCTTGGGGCTTTCAAGTTATCCATCGCTTTTTCTGGTACTCAAAGGTCATTTTGAGTTTTATTTTATTAAATAAAATATATTTATTTTATTTTAAGGAAAATACAGGTTACAGGACTGCAAGTGCCGAGATGCCCCCACAGTCACCCTGAGAACCAAGACCATTACTAAGCGATTAATACCACACTGCTCAGCATGATGTGCGTTTTAAAATGTATGAATCACTTACTTCTGAAATTTCCGTTTAATATTTTAGGACCACAATCGACAGCGGGTAGCCAAAACCACAGAATTGCAATTTATGGATAAAATTTTATGCAATTGTTAGAAAAATTAGAATGCAGGAAGGGCAAGATAAAACTCTGGCACTCAGACGGGAGAAAGACCCAGGGGATGTCATCAAGTGTGGGTTTGGGCCAAGGAGTTGGAGATGGACAGGAAAGTAGTTGGAAGGAGCACTCCAGGCTAAAAGCTGGAGCACGGGATTCTAAGTGCCCACTGATTGGTCAGCTTGTCTAAGCTGAAAGAGCAATATGTGCCTGTCAGGGAGCCCATTGTTGGATTTCTCTGACTTGGGGGGAGCATGTGTATCCAAGCAGAGGTGTAGACTGTTCTGTCATACACGCCTGGCAAGAGGGAGAAGGGAGATGTTCAGAGACCAGTGTGGACCACTCCACCAACCGACCGCTTAGTCCCTTCAGTAAGTGATTCCAGTACCGTGTATGAGGCGAACCTAGGCAGCCCCTGACAGTGACCCAAGCAAGCAAAGTTTTCCCTGGCACAGTTAAGGGAAAGCTGGCACCTGAGAGGTTAGCAGCAGTCACATCACGCAGAGCTTTGTCAACTTCTGAGGGCAGCTTTGCTCAAATGAGATAGGACCCACTTGGACCATCCTGAGCAGAGGGTTTTCATGAGGTAGAATTATCTATCTGTCTGTTCGCCCATCCTTCCATCCATCCATCTATCCATCATCTTCCTTCTTTCCTTCCTTCCTTTCTTCCTTCCTTCCTTCCTTCCTTCTTTCCTACCTACCTACCTACCTACCTACCTACATATTTATTTGTTTTGGTTCTTTTGAGACAGGGTCTCACTATGTAGCCCTGGCTGTCCTAGAACTCACTCTGTAGAGCAGGCTGGCCTTGAGCTCACAGAGGTCTGCCTGCCTATGCCTCCCAAGTGCTGGAATTAAAGGTGTGTGCTACCACACCTGACTTAATGTGGTATTTTAACATGGCCACTCCAGCTGTGGGGAAAAAAAAAAAAAAACAATGTAAACCCAGGCAAGGTGATATGCTTCTAATCTCGGTACCCAAGGGTCAGAAGGATCACAAGCCCAAGGCCAAGAAGCGAGTTTCAGACCAGTCAGAGCTACGTAGTGAGAGTGTCTCATAAACCCAAGCATTGGAGGTGCGGCTTGCCCTTGTCTAGATATAAGAGAGGGCGAGCAAGACCGAGGCACTTTTGTGTGGGAGCTTGAGATGCAGTCCAGGTGCAAAGGAAGCAAGAATGCATCACTTGGTTACTTGGAAAGTCAGTATAGTAATCCAGATATCAACCTAGTGCCTCAGACCAGACTGGGAGCAGTTGTCCTGAGTGTATTGAGGGAAGCAGGTCAAGCGTTTCTGGATGATTGAATGTTAAATGTGAGGGGGAAAAGTGATGGCGGCGATGTCTCTAAGGTTTTCGGACTGGAGCAACTGAAAAGGTTCGGTTTTGAGCATGTTACGTCCAAGTTACATGTTAGGCACCTGGTCTGTGAGATTGAGTGCATAGGTGGGTGCATGAAGGGTGGTCATGAAGGGATGGAGAAGGATGCAGACTCACAGCCAAGTGTTAGGTAGAGAGCGGAGATCCTGCAGAGGGGGAAGAGAGAGGAGTGTAGGGAGTACTCATCTCCAGGAGTGAGGACATGATGGGTCTAGGTAGAAGGGTCCCCCTTGACTGGGGCAGGAAACCCCTTGACTGGGAGCTTCAACTACCAGAAGAGAATGACAATGTCATTTATTTGGAAGGGACATGAAAAGATGAGCCTTTGTGGATTGGCTTCTCCGTGGTGTAAAAGGAAACACATCTGGAGAAACTTTGTGGCTTGGCTGTGGATGACAGGAAATGGTACCAAGGGAAGTAGTGCCATGCCGGCCTCAAAGAAGAGGACAAAGATTAGCAATGCCACTTTGGGAAGTAAAGAAAGGTGCCTGGGTCAACAGGAAGGCTGCACATCTATTTCTGAGTGGGCAGAGTTCCCACACAGAGTAGGAACTTCCTAACAAACCCACATTCCAGGCTTTCCAGGGCTGGCAAGAGAGCAGAAAGGAGAGCTCAGAAGTCGGGAGAAGTAGCCCTTCTCTGGAAACCAAGTCAGGAGAGAATATGTCCACCAAAATATCTGTAGTGCAACTGCGGATCAGCTCATTTAGCAGAATGCTTGTCTAGCATGCACAAAGCCCTGGGTTCCATCTCCAGCACCACATAGACCAGGCATGAAGCTTTGAATCCCAGCATTTGGGAGGTGGAGGCAGAAAGATCAAATTCAAGCTCATCCTTGGCTATGTAACAAGGACAAGCCCAGCCTGGGGTCCATGAGAACATCTTTCAAAAAAAAATAAAAGTAGTGTCTCCAATGGGCATCTCTCCTGAGAGGTGTCTGAAGTCTCAGGGGTCTGGGGGAGACGCTGGTCAAGCTTACTTTAAGCCTCCTCTTTTGTTACAACGTGACAGTATCTGTCTGCAGCAAATCCCCATCCAGTCTATTGTGCAGAAGCCGTAGCAGTACCCAGGACCACCCACCCCTGCTTTTGTGACTCCCAGAAGATAGGGTAACTAGCCTGGACCTTCTGCACATGTTGTTTAATCTTTACAGCCCTTGAGAAGGAATCTGATGCCAGTGGACTAGATACAGTGTAGTCTGAGATGCCACAGTTCCGAGAAGTGAGGACATTGCATCAAGTTACCAAGTCTGCAGAGTTTGGAACTCATTCCGACATTCCAGCCCAAACCCCAGTGTCAGCAATCTGAAGATCATGAGAATACATAAAGTGACCCTTTGCCGTGTGTGCACCTCAGTGACTCGTGAGAATATTTAGCATGGTGCCGGCATCTCAGTCACAGGAAGTTAAGAACTTGAAGAGAAGACGATATAGTGAATTCTCAAATAGTATAAAAATGGGAAGAAAAGTCAGCGTAAGCAGGAAGCAGCCTGGTCATTTCACAGACCCTCCTGGGATCCACAGTGTCAGAGGCCCAGGTGCCATCTTGGGGGCAGAGTCAAGACTAGTCAGCGTCCTGTTTGTGGTTTCCAGTAGAAGAATCCCTTTAGTCGGAATGCTAGCAACACTGCCACTGAGTAGCCTGTAAGCCACCTGCACTCGAATCCGTATGGACTTCCTTTGGTATGAGCCTGTAGCAAAAGAAAGTTTGTGTCTTAGATAAGAATTTGGAAGGGTAAAAGTTGGGATGACTTGCCCCACAGCTGAGAAGTGGGTCTAGGCAGAAGCTACCCAACTCTCAGGATCCCTCTCTCTAGCCCAGTGGTTCTCCTAATGCTGCAACTTCTTAATACAGTTCCTCATGTTGTGGTGACCCCAACCATAAAATTATTTAACTGCTACTTTGTGATTGTAATTTTGCTACTGTTGTGAATCATAGTGTAAGTATCTGATACGCAGGGCATGCTTTCCCTAAGGGGTCAAGACCCTCAGGTTGAGAACCCCTGCTCTAGCTTATACATATACCCTGTGGAATGTTTTGCCCTGCACACACTGGTGTGGAATATTGGGGGAGGGTTGTACACATGTCCATACTTTACTGTATAAAACTTTATTTAAACAAAAAGCGATGGGGGGGATAGGGGGGATGGGGGGGGCGTGAGGCCAGTGTGGGGATATGAAGTTACAGAGTTACAGAGTGTCTGCCTTACAGATTCAGATTTTTTTAGAGACTGTTAACTGTTGCCTGCTATAAGATATTAGCTTCTGCATTAAGAAGCACGGGGGGGGGGGACTGCAATAAATTATTAAAGGATTTAAAGTGCCGAGGAGCCGCTCCGCCAGGACATACTGTCCCTGGGAAAGTGTTCTCCATATGCTCCCATTCAGGCCCTGTGGTGCAGCGGGAATCCTCTGAAACTGGCTTAGTAACTGACAAATCCTAAAACACAAAGGGCCTCTGTGCAGCTCGCATTCCTTCCCGTCTCCACGGTGATAATAAACCGGCTAAAAGGTGCTTAGTGCCCTGCTGCTCCCCATGAAAAAGGAAGATGCAGTCCTCTCTGGCCTTCCTTACAAAGCAGATTAATTCCTAGGTTAGAACGCACAGCAGGGAGAAATCCATAGAGGTTGGGCCGTTGACCGACGGTGGAATCATAACCCTGCAGCCCGAGCCTCTTGAAAACTGCTTCCTCTGTGACCGGTCACACTTGCTTGTGTTTACCCCTAAAATATACTGTTCACGTAGTATAGCACTGGGGGAGTGACATCATCTATAAAAGGGCTATTGGTTAGGTTCTTTTCTGCCCTGAAACGCAAAACTTAGAATCAACTCTTGTCTTATTTGTCTGACAAATATTTACTCATTTCTAAGCAAGTAGCTATTTCAAAACTACAGTGGCAGAAAAACATGTGGAAATAGCATTCCTTACGTGACACCAGTCCGCAGAAGAAGCAGGAATCAATTCTTCATAAGCCAAGAGAGTCTAGGAGTGTGCGTATCCTATTCCCGTACGGTTATTCACTGTCAAGGACCCACAGGATAAACAACCAGCCTTGTGCTATCAACAGCACTATTCAGACACTCGGCACGCTCGGTAAAACAGACCAAATCCTGCAAGGCCAGTCTGCTGCTTCCTGGAAAAACAGATTATTT